CAACACTATTTAGATATATAAAAATATATATAAATATATGAATATATATATACATTGACGTTCATATACATACGTTGTAAGTAGGTATGTCTAGGTGTCGCATTTATTTGCCGAGGCGATGCACGAGTGGTACACCAGTCGAGATTTGGTCACGGTCGAAGAATGTCTCGTCGATCGTTGACGATCGCGAGATATTGCCGGGTTACTTTGGCCGTGAACTAGCGCGATCATTTTTTTTCTCTATCCCGACAACCCTACACACACACACACACACACACGAAAACCTCTGTCGTTTATTAAGTATCGCTGGCTGCGACTCCGCTCGCCGACGCACCTTTTTAATTTCGTCGATGTGATTTTTAAAGGCTGCGCAGAAGAAAAGGGTCTCGTGTCTCGTGTATGTGTTTGCGATCGCGCTCTACCACGTTAACGTAGCCATAATCCAAGTCACCTTTTACCATGTATATCACGTTTTACTCGTACATGCTCGCGGAGCTTTTCGCTTTGAAGCTTTGGAACTTAACGCGATGAAAGGGGAAAGAAAAAACGAAACGAATCGAAAGATATTTAGCTTATTCGATGATATTTAACCCGTGTGAGATCGATCTGTCGCGTGCGTCGATCCGTGCGCACGTGATCCTCGATCGATTAAAAAGTAAGAGAAAAAGAAGAAAAAAGAAAAAAAAAAGAAAAAACGTGATGTCCGCGGATTGTCGCATAGCTTCCTTTTAATTATCGATTGGAAACTATACCGTAACTTGTTCGTTTATATCGTTATGGCTTTACGTGTGATCGATCTGGTATCGTTTCTTTTTTCGCTAAGGTTTAAACGTTACTTTTTTTTTCTTCAACGATGCTGTGAAACGGTCGGTGCCGCCGTCCGCGCGTTATAATGCATAACTGTATTGTTGCTTCGTTTCATTTTCGAAATATTCGACGTTCATTTCTCGTGCAACAAAACGGGGCGGTTCTTCGAGCATCTCCCACGGCGGGGCGCGTATCGTTTTACTTCTTTCGGTTGCAAGCCAGACTCGGGACATTTCGTAATTAGTAATATGTGTTTTGCGCTCAGTGCTCGCCTTTAAATTGGCTGTAAGTTTGCATTCTCATACAACGATACTCGTATATCTCCGCGTTCGTAGGGACTCGAGGATCCGCTCGCAGTACACCGTTTCCTCAGTACCACTATTTTATGTTTTTGTACCAAAGTCGTAGCGTCTAACTTTACGTTAAATAAATAAAAACAAAAAAAAAAAAAACAATCGTCCCGTTTACTTCTTCGGACTCCTATCTCTACCGATAACGAAATTGCTACTATGCTGTACCGCAGTTTCTCGTTAAATGTAACTCTGAAAAAGTTTCTTGGTTATATTTACGTTAGCGAAATGGTACGTCGATGCATACTTTACGATACTACGAAAGCAGCAACTTATCGATCTGTGTTTTCAAATGTTTCGTTGAATTATTAAAAATGATATCGCGTTGAAATTCAAATATTTACCATATGGTAACATTTGAACGATGTTTGTGCAGTGATAACTCGTAGTAGTTGGTAACATCATTTGTTCGCACGATGGCGTCTGGCGGTGGTACGTACCGTTTATTTTGCTTTTTATCATTTAATAGGTAACGTTAAGCGATACGTTCTGAATGGGAATTTATGGTAATAATAATGTCAATTAAATCGTTGTTCTTCCAATAGCGGAAAACACCACGGAGGAAAGAACTGAGCCAGCGACGCCGGCACAACCCCTCACCAATGTTGTGAGCGAAACAGCGCACGTAAGTTAGATAACCTATAAATCTAGGTATAACCTATCGTGCCACTATTTCGTTGCAATTGATTCGTATTCGTAAACATTGCTTACGATATCAACGTTGATCCTATGTTTTCGCAATGTCGCGTTAATTTTGTTTATTAAAATTTACGAAAAATCTTTAGAACGTAGTATTTTTGACATTTCCCGCCAAACTAATGACAGCTGCTACGTCGAAATTTGACTTTGTTTTTGTACCAGTTTTAACGAGTTATACCATTGGCATGTTCAAGTTTGTGTATATTTTTAGTGTTTACTTCATTCGTAGTAAGGTTATGCTTGTTGTGAGTGTGTTTTTGCACAGTTTGTAAAATGTGTAAACAAAATAAGAACAGTCAGTTTTGTTGATGTTTACAAAGGTGAAACTGACACTGGTCTTAATCTGTTGAACTGTTTTGTGTTGTTGCAGAGGATACTAGCAATGAACAAGGACTCTGATCTGTCCGGTGTACCACCAAAGAAGTCACGTGTCGAAGTACAATCATTGCCAACGAGGCAGTACTTGGATCAGACTGTAGTCCCAATTCTATTACAAGCCCTGTCCAGTCTAGCCAAGGAACGACCTGCCGACCCCATTAGCTATCTAGCCGGATACTTATTAAGGAACAAAAGCCAATACGACAATGGTGAATCTCCACCAACTAGTCAATGAACTGCCTACGCACTTATAACTATGTGATGAAAACTGAAGAATCGTTCATAAACATTTATTGAAATTTCTTAGGAATATATTCAAGTCGGGCAAGGTGTACTTGTGTAATTTTAAATCAAATAAAAATGTATTAGCTTTTTATCGTATGATAAACTTTCTGGTGGTTAAATAACAGAGAAAATGTAACAAGTTTTCCAAAGTGTTTTTCTCTTTGTGTTCGTTCAATGACTATTTAACGGTGGTTGACGACTTATATAACGTATGTGCGTTGCAACGTTCAAATCAGCAGAGGTTAACCTCGTCGTTGTTAAAACGGACAACAGTTAACAGTGCAATAGTTCGTACCTGAAAGAATTTCTTCGCCGGATCGTGAGGCCTTGGACGATATTATTCCGTGAAAACTGCTCGTGCTTTGTGTCACTCACGAGAAACGAGAAGGATAGTTATCACTGACTCGATAAATCGTAATGAGTCCTCGGTGTCCCGCGTCGATTTTAATTGGAACGGCGATTTAATTGGATGCAATTAAATGTAATCGTCCAATGAATCGACGTGAAATTTATTTTACAGACCGATAAGATCGATAATTTGCGCGGGTGACGCAGCATTCGACTACGCACACGTATACACACTTTGAATTCGTTCCGTAGCGGGAGGACTACTACGTTGATTTTTTCGAGTCGAAAATTCGCGCGGTTCGTTCCCGCGCGCGGGAACGTTAATTATAACCGGATGTCGTTCAGTTGCTGGTTCGTTGAGCGTAGTGTGTCGCGTTAACGGTTTAACTGCACCGGTGGCTCGTAACAATCCCGACGAAAGAAAATTCGTGCACATCGCAGATAACGCCGGAGCACCGTACAAAACGTCGACAACGAGAGGAGATATCGAGGTAATTTCGTGGGGAACAATTCGCACGGCAGCATCATCGTACCGAGTCCAATTAACGGAGCGACCTCCCATCCGACTCTCTCGTACATCACTCCGCTTCCTTGATACGGTTCCTGGCGTACATTTACCGCACACAGACTGGGTATTACTTTTATTTTCCACCCTTTATATTGTAGATACCGTAGATCGAACTTTTAAACGACGTAATACCCTGTCAACATCTTTCTCGTCGTATTAAACGAGATCAGATGAACCGCCATACGCTATATCCTACTACGCACAGCTTCCTACGTCTATCGTAGGAACTCTCGAGATTGAAACCGTACGACAATAGAGTCGCTTTAACATATCCATTACGGGTACAAAGTTCACCGGTGTAACGTATCGAGACAGTGTGCATAGGATATACGTACCGTGGAAGTAGGAAGACACGGGACACATGTCGAGTTTCCATATCCTTCTCGGATTTTTCTTTCGTCGTTTCTTTCGCGTAAGTACAGATGATACGACGCAAAATGTTGACGCGCGATCGCGTTACGGTTAAGTGGCGCTTCAGTTGCACATACACACAAAGAACGCAAAATCGAAGGGGGCATGGTTAATGAGTGAACCGTGTCACCGCTTTCGTCGTGCGCGCACAATCTGCAGATTCACGCCCGCACGGCCACACGGTAGCTCGGTTCAATTGGCACGCATATTGGAATTCTATTAGCGAGATTACCGACAGTAATTGCTCGGTTTGGCGCAATATCGTATGCTCGTCTGTAGGCAGCCAATAGGCTAGCGAGCATCAAACGCGGATTAAGCGTGCGTCTTGCCTCGCGACCGAGGACAAGCCAGGGTGCATTATGCTTCTTCCCGACAAGTGTGCAGTGCGCTGCTGATAGTCGGGGGTCCCTGAACGTCGGTTCGACCGGAATTGTATCATGAATCGTGAATTTGAATATGTACGGTTACGTTAGCCAGACGCGCGTCACGTCAAAGGATCGAGACGTTCGGTAGCGGCGAATTACCAGAGCCATCTAGGTGGGCGTGCGGGCGTTCGTCTCTCTCTCTCTTTCGTTTCTCCGTGAAAATTTAATCGAAAGTTTCTACAGGCTGGGAAATGAAAGTTGGACATAAGTGGGAGGGGAGGAAATAAAAAAAGAAAAAGAAAAAGGGAGGTACGCGACGTGCAACGTGTTTCGTTGTCGAGAAAGAAACGAAACTTGTAAGTTCTCGCAGATCTCGCAGGGCGGAAAACGATTTACCAGGCCGTAAGAGCGCGAGACTTTTCCAAGTAGAGATTTTTCGAAAATTTCTGTCTCCGAACTGACTGGCCGGATTATATAAAAATTTTTCTCCATAACTGGAAACTCTACCGCAGTTTCCTGTCTCGTTTTCTCCCTTTCCCCTGTACCAGTCGCCTCTCCGTGTGTCGGAGTTAGGGAAAAAACGCTTACCGAGCAGATTCACGCGAGCTAAAGCCCTCTTTTCTCTCGTATTTTTTGCCAGGCTAGAATTCTATCTGATAACCGGAAACTTCTCTCGTATTCTTTTTTCCTCTCACCCATCCTCCCCCTCCCTCTCTTTCACTCTCACCCCATTTTCTATTTCTCCTTTTTTCAATACATATTTCTCCTTTCACTTCTTTTTCCCTCTGGCCGTTTCACTCGTTCCATGAAAGATGCTGGCACGGACTTTCGCTCGGTTACGCGGCCGCCGCGCGAAGCGCGAAACAATAAATACCGGTTGGGTCTCGCAGCAGTTACGATCATTAAACGTAATATCTGTTTTGAGAATAGCCGTGCTCCGTTGTAATATAAAATCGTTAATGAAACATCGAAACGTTTCCAGCTGCAAATTGAAACTTCCCCCCTCTCTCTCCGAGCTCGAAGCATATTCATGGCTCGCAAAATGAAATTTCGTAATTCGGTCACGGTATAATTAGAGACGGACGTTTTAATCAGCTTGACGAAACGACTCGCGATCCACGAAGGAGCGTAGACGTGCACAAGAACGACACTGTGGGGGTAAAAGTCTTTCTTCATGCTCTCTCTCCCTGGTTCCACTCCATCCGCAGACTCCTCTTCTCTTTCTGAATTATCTTGCGGTTCCTCGCTCGCGGGGCCACAGATTTTCATTTCAGATCTGGCTCCGGTACAGTGCAGAGGAGAAAATAGAAGTCGCTTCCCGTTGATTTCAATCTGTTTGACGGTGTTCTCTCCACCCTCTCGCTCTCCTCCGGGAGGAGGTGGAGAAGGAAGCGTCGTCGCGGTGCCTCGCTACCACCCCGTCCGGCAAACCAGCACCGCGACGCTACCCGAAGACAACGAGACAAGATCCGCGACGCGCGGGCATCCGTTATCGCGCCACGGCATCTCCTCGGCTATTTCATGCTCCCGTTTCTTCGTCTCTTCCATCCTCCACCGCCCTTCCGGGGAATTATTGGTTCCGCGGAGAGGTCCTCGAGACATCGAATTACTAGAGTCCAGTGATTCGACACTAAACTCGAGTATATACGCATACTCGTCGTCGTCGTCCGGTTTTTGTTTTACGTTGCTCCTTGCAGCTCCGAACGGCTGGTTTCTTTTAGCGCTATGTAAAGAGGAGAGATGTTAAGCACTTGGACACTCACTTTCCACGTACTTACGAATATTGCACTTGGTGCCGTCTAATGATTTTATCGTTCTCAATTTACACTAACTAACAATGTTCAGATGACTGGTTTTAGTGGTTGAGACTGCTAATGAATGGATCTCGCTGATTCGAGATCCTACTAGTTAACTCTTAATGTTCGAAACTGACAGATCTTGAACTAATAGTCTGACTGATACTGAGCTAATAGTCTCTGACTGATACTGAGCTAATGGTATCTAACTGATACTGAACTAATAGTCTCTGACTGATACTGAGCTAATGGTATCTAACTGATACTGAACTAGTCTGCTAAATTAAAAATAACGGTTTACTGAAATAAAGTCACGTATCATAAAATCGTTCCCTTGCTGTCCTAACAAGAGGAGAGGTACGACAATGACTGATTCTATTGTTCGAGAGACGGTTTATTGTAACGGCGGGAAGAATGGCTGGTTTTTAATTGGAGAACGATCAAACACAAATACTCTCTCGCCAGTTAGAGTTGGTTGTCTATTCAGTTCTTCTTCAGTTTGAATAATTAGGAATATCTTGACGGATTCAATTAGGTAATGGCGTTCTTCTTTATTATCCTACCTTTCGTCTGGAATTGTCTTTTCAGAGAGATTCCTTCGTAATTATTTCTATCGATCCTCTCCTCGTTTTCTGTCACTTTCAACCTGCACGCAATATTCTAATCGAGTCGAACGTGGTTCGCTGTGAATTTACGTGCACGCACATTTTACCCCATCTACGAAAGTCCTTATCACATCGTTAGGAACCTGCCGGGACATTAGGTTATTCCAGCGCGAAAAAGATGAAAAAAGAAGCTGTACTCGTTGATAAGGCTTATCGGTCCGTGCTCTTGCTGAAAACTTTCGTCGACGATATTTTCGCTAAAGTAGTATCGAGAAAGGAAGAGCAGGGAGGGAGAGGAGGGAGTGGAGCTAAACGAAAATCGTTTCGGTCTTTTTGTCTTTAACGCTTTGTCAAGATTAAGCACGCCTTCTTTTTCTTGGGCGCGATTCGCTGTGCCTGGTGGAATCGATACCGATATCGATATTAGTCGGAGAACAGCTTCGATATTATCAAGGAACATTTTGCACAAAGCAGTACATTCCTACGGATGGGGTTTAATGCACAGATCCTCTCCCCTGGGTTTCAGTTTTCGATCGCAGTGGAATTGACTCTCTCTCCCTCGCCTTCCTTTCTGCCCTTCATCTTCTCTGTGCACCAGCCGGGTAGGCGTCCTCCAAAAGCGCTTAATCCTCCGACCGGTCGAAAGCCCCTCGGCCGGTATTACTGCAAACGTTGATTTGTGGTCGCGGCACTGACATTATTTATAATTTGTGGGTATTAATGGCCGGACTCACACGTGTGTACCTTTGCCGGTTTGTAACAGGATAGGAAGCCTTTACGTACTCATCGATCTCGTCGAGATCACCGATCGATACTGACGCCGGGTAGTTTAAGTTTCGGTTTACGTTCCAGTTTCACTCGAGGGATTCTAGACACGCTTTCAATGACCGATCATTTTCTGTTCTTGCACGCATGCCTGATTCAGGGTCTGCAAGAACGTTCACA